GCAATCATCTAATTCTAGGACATTTCATCATCCCAAAAGGAAACCCCATGCCCATTAAGCAATCACTTTCCACTGCCCTCCCAGCTCCTCCCCACCCCCACCTTCAACCCTAGCCACTAATCTACTTTGTCTCTATCGATTTGCCTATTCTAGACGTTTCTTATAAATGGAATCATACAATATGCAGCCTTTTGTGTCTGGCTTCTTTCACTTAGTATGTTTTCCATGTTCATCCATGTTGTAGCATGTATCAATACTTCACTCATTTTTATTGCTGAGTAATATTCATTATATGGATACATTATTATTTTATTTGTCATCAGTTGATGGACATTTGAGTGGTTTCCACATGGTAGCCATTGTGAACAATGCTGTTACAAATATTTGTGTACAGGTTCTTGTGTGGTCATGTGTTTTCAACTCTCTTGGGTATATACTTAGGGTGGAATTTCTGGGTAAAATGGTAACTCAGTGGGACTGAGAGAATGTTTTCCAAAGTGGCTACACCATTTACATTCCCACCAGCAGTGTGTGAACCTTCCATTATCTCCACATCCTCACCAACACTTGTTACTACCTGCAATAATACAAATGATTTTTGCATGTTGATCGTGTATCCTGCAATCTTGCTGAACTTATTAGCTCAAAATATTTCTAGTGGATTCCTTAGGATTTCGTATATACAGTCGTGTCATCTGCAGAGGTAGTTTTACTTCTTCCTTTCCAATCTGCATGCCTTTTATTTTTTTCTTGCCTAATTACTCTGGCTAGAACTTCCAGTACAATGCTGAGTAGAAGTGGTGAGAGCGGACATTGTCTTGTTCCTCATCTTACATGGAAAGCACTCAGTCTTTCACCTCTAAATATTAGGTCAGCTGTGTGTCTTTTGTAGATGTCTTTTATCAGGTTAAGGAAGTTCCTTTCTATTCCTAGTTTGTTGAATGTTTTTTAATCACAAAAAGGTGTTAGATCTTGTCAAATCCTTTTTCATTGAGATGATCATGTGGTTTTGTTGTTTATTCTGTTGATATGGAGCATTTCTTTGATTTTTCTGATGTTAAACTAACCTTGAAGGCTTGGGATAAATTCTACTTGGTCACGGTGTATAATTCTCTTTCTGTGTTGTTGGATTCGGGTTGTTAGAATTTTGTTGAGCATTTTTGCATCTATGTTCCTAAGAGACAATGGTCTGTAGATTTCTTTCATTTGGTGTCTTTGTCTGGTTTTAGTTATCAGGGTAAAGCTGGCCTCAGGATGAGCCGAGAAATGTTCCCTCCCTTTCTAATTTTTGGAAGAGTGTGTGAAAAATTGGTATTAATTCTTTAAATATTTTGGTAGAATTCAGTGAAGTCCTCTGGGCTTGGGCTTTTCTTTGTGGATAGTTTTTTAATTACTAATTCAATATATTCTGTATATTCCTAACACATGGACATTTCTGATGCATTTTATATTCCATATGGGAGGGATAAAACTCTAAACAGCAGTCTAAGTGAGGTTTGTCACTACAGCAGTTCAGGTCAGACCAGGTTTCGGCCCTCAAGACTTATTAAAAAGCCTACCAGGGATTTCTACATTTTGCATCATGGCTAAGAGATCAGGAGCCATATTTCCTACAGTGCTAAGGCAGCCATGCCCTGCTTTTCCTCGCCTAGCTTGTAAGGCCAGCTTCCCTCTTTGGCTGGGCGCTAACAGTATCTTAAGCGACCAGAGGAAATTAAGGCATTTTTTTCTTATGGGAGAGATTTGTGACATTCTGGTCTGATCAGTCCATAAGAGCCTACATCACAGATATAAAACACTTTGGGTCTGTTCCCCCATCTGGACAACACAACTCAACAGGGAAGGGCTAAAGGGAGCAGGGATTCGGGCTGATGACAAGACATGTGTTTTGACTCCCGATGTTTTGATAACAACTGAGGACAGGCAAGGGAAAGGGCCTTCCTTCCGGCTGCTCCTTATGTAACTTCTCAGGGTTTGAAAAGGAGAAGTGGCATCAAGTCCACTTCTTCAATCTCTCTGCCCTCTTTCCTGAGCCAAAGCCCCAGCTGAGGCCTTGTCCCACCCTCCAGGACCATCATCCCAGCCTCCTCCCTGGTCTCCCGGATTTGTTTGACCCCGGAAGGATCTTCCCAAGTCTTACTGGACCCTGTCCCTGGAGGCAGGTTCAAGCTCTTCACCTTGCTATTTGGGTGCTCTTCAGGATCTGCCTCCTACATACTTCTCCACGCTCACCTGCGCCACTCCCTCTCACTTTCCCCACTCTCCACACCAAATAACTTTTGTTTCTGTGAAGAGTGAGGAGGAGGGAAAGCTTTCCAGGTAGAGGTTCATGTTACAAGGAAAAGGCTGGAGATGCTGAATCATGTGTGTGTTTGCAGGAACCAAGAGTGTTTCCCAGAGAGGAGTGGGTAGTGAGGCTGGGGAGACTTGAATCCTGGTTGCCAAGGTGACTGCATCCTTCCCTTTACTCCCCTAATTAGGGTGTCACCAAGTGCCAATCTGTCTCCTTGGGAATCTTCCCCTTCTGTCTCCCTCTTTACCCACCACCTCCCTAACTCCACATTACCTCCTCCAGTTCAAAACTCCTGTCTCAGACCTGAAGCCTCCCAAGGCTCCTGGCCTCATGTCTCCCCTTTGGAATCTAATGCTGTCCCTCCTTTGCCAAGAACTCCTGTGGCTGCTTCTGCCTTCCAGAATGAAGTTTAAATCTTCAGCTTGCTCCAAATTGCTCTATACACTCCAGAACCAGCCTCATTTCCTTCTACTGTTGATGCCCCTGCATGTCAGTAGCAGAGCTAAGGTGGGACTTAGAAGTTTGTCTCTGGACCACAGGTGGTAGACTGTTCCACTGGCATCCTCCAGCGAACCACGCCTGCAGGTTTCACATCGTGCGCGGCTCCCTCCCACACTGACTCTGGGCTTGACCACGTGACTTGTTTTGGCTTGTGATGCAAGCAGAGGCTTGAAAAACACTTGTAAACTGGGACTTGTTCTCTTGGAAACTGCTTTGGAACCGTAAGCTATCAGATAAAGAGGTCCAGTCACCCTGCAGAGGCTATATGGAGATGCTGTACCAGGCCCCAGCTGAGGTGCCAGACAGGAGTGAAGAAATCATCTTGATCATTCCACCCCAGCACACACCATGTGGAGCAGAAGAACCGGCCAACTGAGCCGAGCCCCGACTGCTGAATTATGAGGAAAAGGTTTTTATTGTTTTAAATCACTAAGTTTTGGGGGTAGGTTGTTATGCAGCAAAATATAACTGGGACAACATAGATTATTCATTTGAATGTTCCTCCAACAATTATAGGTAGATTGCCTACTACGCTAGAACATTCAACATCTTGCTGAGAGTGATTATACTGCCCTACCTCCCAATCTCATCAACTCTTCACTCATTCAGTCCTTCAAATATTTATATCCTAGGAAAGATAATTTGTGTCATGTGTAGGGAGACTGAGTTTAAACCATAGGCCCTGCCAGGCCCCGTGGCTTGGCAGTTGGGTGCGCGCGCTCTGCTGCTGGCGGCCCGGGTTCGGATCCCGGGTGTGCACCGACTCACCGCTTCTTCGGCCATGCTGAGGCCGCGTCCCACATACAGCAACTAGAATGATGTGGAGCTATGACATACAACTATCTACTGGGGCTGTGGGGGAAAATAAATAAAATTCAAAATTTAAACCACAGGCCCTGCCCTTATGAAACTAACATAAGCTGATAATGGGAGGAACAAGGTCTCCTTCACCCTTATCCTCCAGGACCCATTTGGGTCTAACAAACAGTAGGAACTTGGTAACATGGGGGCTGAGCTGGTGAAATCACGTTGCCACTCAATGCCAATTTCCCTTCCACCCCGCTGAGCCAAATTTCACTCAAGTATCACGTCCTCTGTGAAAGCTTACACGCACCACCATCCACTAAGTCTCTTGCTCCACTCTCCAGGGCTCTTTGGCCCCTGCATCAGTTAGAATTTGGGCGACTTTCAAGTAATGAAACACCAAACAAACAGTCACTTAAACACTTAACTCTCCCAGGTGACCGATACTGGAATATTGGCGTGAGTCTTCACATCATCAGGAACCTAGGCTCCTCCTCTCTTGTTTGGCAACCTTGCTTGGCCTATACTCTTAAGATCACTTCCCGGCCTGAGATGGCTGCTCCCACTCTGGTCGTCTGGTCTATACTCCAGAGCACAGGAAGCCGCAAAGAAGGCGGTGCATATCCCTCCCCTTAAGAACACTTCCTAGAAGCAGCACATACCCACTTTTGTTCACATATTAGCCAAAAGTGAGTCACAATGCCACACCAAATTTTAAGAGACACTGGAAAAATACCTTGAATCGAGGCAGCCACGTGCCCAGTTAAAAAGGAATGTCTATGTAAAGAAATGGGCAAACAGATACTGAAGGACAACTGGTTCTGTCTTGCCACAGGCCCCTTCCCACTCTGTTATAGCCCTGATTAGCCTCAGACCTCCTCAGGGACATGGCCCGGCCCACACGGGGTTCTCTGGCAAGTTACAACTAACCCTGACTGACTGTTTCTCATGTGCCATGCAGTGTTACACACGGTATATGTATTAACTCATTTAGTCTTCATAACTGGCCCTGCTATCTAGATTCTACTGTTATCCCCATTTTACAGAGTACAAAACTGAGTTCAGAGAGACTAGGTAACCTACTCAAGGTAACACAGCTATCAGCTGCAGGAGCCAGGATCTAGACCCAGGCAGTCTGGCTCCAAGGCACCTGCTCTTAACCACATACTCGGTCAATGTCTGTGAAATTGAACTGCACACAGGACTCTGCTGGCCAGAGACATCGCGTGGACCCTCCACCCCGTAGCCCAGCTGCACTCCTAGTGCTCCCCAGAGAATCCTCCCCACTCTTGGGACACAGGGGTGTGGCAAGCCCAATAATTAGGTCTTCCCCAGAGAGAAGGGCCGAGACCATGGCCCTCATGTGGTGGCTCCTCCTCCACACTAGTGACTAAGACCAAAGGACCAGCTATTTCTAGACCTTTATTTCTCTGTGAAAAGGGAAAAAAAAGGAATAAAATAAAAACGGCACAGTTGACACAAAAAACCACTGAGGGGGAGGAAGGGAGAATGGGAGGTGGAGAAGTAGATGGGGAAGGGGGTCCCCGTTACAGCAGCAGGAGCCAGTGACCTGGGATGCTCACATCTCTCCCCTGACATGGGCAGGAGTGGCCCCTTCCTCCCAGGGTCAATGCCCTGTCCCACCTTGTGCTCCCCCAGCCCCTTGGGAGGTGGACAGTGAGAAGTCAGATTCCCAGGCTGGGAAGAGAAAGAACCGTGCTGGGGGAAGGGGCCTGGGGTCAGACCATGCACAGGGAGTGACAGCCAAAGACTCCCCACTGTCTCCCTGAGGGAGGGAATTGGGGTGGAAGGTGGACACCAGAGGCCGGCATTGGCTCCTCTTCCAGCATCAGGCAAGAGACAGAACTGAGGAAACAAACAGGTGGGAGTCAGAACCACAGCTAGCCCTCTGCCCACAACCACTCCTGCATCTCCCCCTCCCAAGAGCTGCTGGGCCAGGCCAACTGCACCTCTTTGCAGACTAACCTCCCAATGGGGTCTCCCACTTCTCAACGCCTTACCAGTCAGAGCCTCCTGGGCAAAGTACTTGACGTCTACATCCTGGTCCTGAGTCAGCTTCTCTAGGATGGGCTTGACTTCACTCTGCAGTGTGCTGGAAGGAGGGGAAGAGTGAGCTGGGCTAGGGCACAAAGCAGGGAGAGGGCTCCTGAGCAAGGAGGTACACAAAGATACAGACACACGTGAATTAAAAGTCTCTGAGGCCAGAGATACAATTACTTTGAAGGTTGGAAGTCTGACAAACTAAGACCAAGAATCACAAAACACACAAGTCTCCGAGGGTTAGCAAATGATGTATTTCTTTAACACATTTCCTGAGGCCTGCTGCATTTTAGGTGTGAGCAGTGGTAAATCTAACACTCTTGATTCTTGCCCACACAGAGCTTGGGGCAAGAGGAAGACAAAGACCAAACTGAAGATAAGTAACAGAGGAGTGGCAAATGCTCAGGGGGAAATCCTCGGCCCTACAGGAGCCCAAAGGAGGGATCCACTCTCATCTAAGGGGCCCAGGGAAACCCGTCTGCACTGAAAGTCACTTGTTTTGGGAAATGAAGGCGGACTTCAGAAACTACAGCTGTGAGGTTGGGTCCTGGAACTGACAGACACAATTCAGAGACGAAGGCTTCACGTGTCCCCTTCCAGTTGACAGACAGCTCTTCTTCCCCCATATAGCACTATTGTAACTTCTATCATCTAGATCTCGTTCATCTACTTTTGAACTTGAGATCAATGGAATCACAGATATGTTTTCTTGGGTCTGGCTTCTCACTCAACATGAAGTCTGAGAGAGACGCCTATGTTACTGCATACAGCAGGAGGCTTTTTTCATGGCTGAACAGTCTCCTATTGTATGAATAAATCATAATTTATCCACTGTACTGTTAATGGGCATTTGGGTTGTTTCCATTTCATGGCTAATATGAATAAAGCTATCACAAACATTCTTTTGAGAGAAACAGGCACTCATCTCTCCTGGATATACACCCAGGAGTGGAAGTGTGGCTCACATATAATTAGCTTCACCGGATTCCACCAGTTTTCAGAGTGACTGTACACATTTACCACTCACGGCCCCACCTGCAAGGTCTGAGCACTCCAGCTATTCTACCTACACCTAAATGTTCTTCACCAACACTTGCACCATTGACTTTTTTTAAGTTTAGCCATTCTGGATGTGTTTTTGTTTCCATTTCCTGATGGCTAACCATGCTGAGTACATTGTCATATGCTTATTGGCTATTTGGAGATGATCTTTTTGAAGTTCCTGTTCAAGTCTTTCTTTGCCCATCTCTTTCTTGGGGTCTGTCTTATTGATTTGCAGGAAAGTATTCTGGATGAGTCAGTCTTCTGTCAGAAACATGCACTGCAGATAACTCCTCCTAATTGTGGCTTGCCATTTTACTCTCAAAATGTTGTCTTTTGATGAAGTTCTCATTTTACTGAAGGCCAACTTATCAATCTTTTCCTCTGGTGAGCTGTTTAACAAATCTGTGCCTTCCGTAAGTCTTGAAGATATTTTCTTACATTTTCTTCTAGAATCTTTATTTTTTTTATCTTTCTGATTCTGGTCTGTTATCTCTAATTTGTTTATGCACTGAGGTGGGAGGTTTCTTCCCACATGGATATCCAGCTGACCCAGCCATTTATGGAAAATACCTGTATCTCCCTAAACTGCAGTGGCACCCACTGTTATAAACAAGTGAGTATGCTTCTGTGCCCTTGATTCTGTTCTATTGAGCTATTTGAATACTGTTGTACCAACATCTCATTTTTTAATTACTCTGGTAATTACTTGTTAAGTCTTACCAAGTGTTACTGTCGTAAGTCTTGGTATCTAAGTCTTTCAACTTTGTTCTTCTTTAGGATCACCTTGGGTATTTCAGATCTTTGCATTTTCAAGTCAATTTTTCCTTAAAGAACCTGTTGAGATTGACTGAGATTATACTGAATCTATAGATGAATTTGGGCAATCATCACATCCATGAATATTATGTAGGTCTTCTTTAATTTCTCAAAGCAATATTTTATCATTTTCACTAGTGGGATCACATATCTTTCATTAAATTTATTCCTGGGTATTTGATGTTTTCGACACAATTATAACTCTCAGAAAACATACACACACACGTTACTTTCATATTCTAATGATTTGTTGCTAATACACAGAACTGCAACCCTCTCAGCCCCTCCCACTATGTGAGGTAGGCCATGTGAATTCTCATTCTACATTTGAGGAAACTAAGAAGAGATGGACCAAGGTCACACAGCAGGTGAAGAGCAGTGTTGGGCCTCAAACCCTAGGCTCTATCTTCAAAGCTCATAGATTAAGATGCCCAGAACAGCCTCACTGGTGTGTGAGGGAGGGTCCAGGCCTCACCTGTTGTCCAGGATGGGCCCTATCTTCTGGAGCGACTTGGCCACGTTGAAGCGGACATTGGCGACGGGGTCCCCAGCCATACGCAGGACCGTGGGCAGCATGTGCTTGGTGGTGATGTCCTGCCCACAGACCTCAGACAGCACCTGGGGGTCAGTGAGTGGCAAAGGGCTGATTACCCAAAGTTCATGGCTAACTCCCATGACCAGGCCACCTTGGTGATCATCACCCGAGCATTAAGCTGAGGATGAAGGCCTGAGGATGAAGCCGAGCAACATGTGGGACTCTGGGCCTAGGTTCACCTATCTTGGGGGAGGTTTATTCTCCTGGAGTTCCCATCTCCCCTAACACCCTCCTAACAGCACTGTCTCCCTGCCCCGGAAACTCCCAGCCAGATTGTCCCAGTCCATCTCCCTGTCCTCAGACGCCCCTTCATCCTCTGGGGATGGACCTTAATTCCTAACCCCCAGGATCCCTTCCTTAGTGCGGTGGTTTCCAAAGTGAGGCGTGAGAAGACATTATCAGAATAGTTAGTTATATTTGTTTTTAAATCCCATCCTTAATTTCTAGTTATCTGTATGGTTTATTTAAATGAATAGAAAGGAGCTCTTCACATGTACAACATAGCTATTCTAAGTCTTCTGCATGTATAACCAGATCAACCTTCAGAACCTGATGAGTTAGGTACTGTGAGTACCAGTATGAATTCTTTACAGGTGAGAAAACTAAAGCACTAAGCAGTTAGGTCTTTTTCTCAAGGTCTAGAGCTAATATATGGCAGAGCTAGAATTAAAAATGAGGTCTGATTCTAGAGCCTGCACACTTAACCATTATATCATAAATAAATATACACACATATTTCATGGGAAAGGAGAGGGGTGCTGAGAATGATTTGGCAATCACTGCTCCAAAGGCCAAGTCTCACTAGTCCTGGGTCTCCCACCATGCAGGTCCCCACCACCCAGAGGCCCTGTGACTCTGACCAGGGGAGCCCCAACCTCTGGCATGCAGTTTTCCAGGGACCCATCCCTGTGACCCAGAGCCCCATCACTTCCCTACTCTCAAGCCAGGTGTCTCCCTTGAGGACCCTGCACCACCTCTGTTCTCCAGGTACTCCCAGTTCCCCAGGAACAGCCTGTTGGGCGAGTGGAGGTGCTCACATTGATGCAGAAGAGCGTAGTCATGCGGTGCAGGTAGTTGGGGTCCCCAGACATGGCCAAGACCTTGGGGATGATAGTGGCATGGGCCCACTCCTTCCCAAACTTCTCCACCAGCTTTTTCAGGTTGCTGGTAGCCGCCTCACGGATGGCATAGACTGCAGAAGGACAAGGGTGAGAGAGTGGTGATTCAGAAGGTGAAGGACTGACATGGGAGAGAAGGAACAGGCACACCCACTACTGCCTACTGAGCATCCCCTAGGTACCAAGCCACAGGTAAATCAATAAACTCCAAGAGGAAGAAAGAGCTCATCATGTGCTAAATGTAGGGTTTTCTTTTCTTACAGTATCTTCTCAACAGCTCCAAAACACAGGTTCCATTACTGGCCTCATTTCCAGATGGACAAACTGAGGCTCCAAGAAGTGATTTGTCCAAGCAAATTACTCAGTACTTAGTACTTGGAACAGTGCCTAACACAGACAAATGTTAACTTTGTTTTCACTAAGAGTAGTGAAAATCAATGAGCAGTTCTCACAATGGCTCTTAAAGAAGGGGATGAGAAGTCCCATGTTTCACAGAACAAATGAGGCTGAAAGACAGTAACTGACTTTCTTAAGCTTCAAGAGCCAGGAGGTGGGATTCAAAGTGAGGGCTGTCTGCTCGTTGGTCCTCAGACTCGCCAAATTACCAGGCAGCTCCCGGGTGATCTGTTATATCCATCTCCTACCCTGCACTTATCCAGGATTCTAAAAATCAAGGGAGTTGGTCCAAGGGAGCATCTGACAGCATGGGAGAGTGACTCCAGCCTCCTCTACGCTCCCCCTACAGGCCCCAGCCAATCTGCCTTCATCCCTCCTGGAGCCCCAATCTCCTCCATCCTGTTGGAGGTTCTCACCGTGATCCACGAGCCAGGCCATGCACAAGGAGTTGAGTTTCTCATCAAAGAACTCCACCCCCTGCAGGACAAAACGAGGTAAAGGATTAAGGGAGACTGGGTAGAGTTTCTAGCAACACCCCAGGGAAACCACACCCATCCAACAGACGGACTTCTCACCTTCACCTATGGGCTCCTTCCCCTTCTCCTTCTAGTTGAATTCTGTTCATCTTTAAGGCCCTATTTCCTGTGCCCCTTCCTAACTCCCCAGACAGTCCTCACACCCTCTGCTGAGTCCTGAAGGCCCCCAGTTACCCCATCACAGCCCTGGACATGCTGCACCATGACTAGACCCTGAGAGTACCTCCCCTGGGGCAGCATGCCTGGCCCCCAAGCCTCCTTACTCACCAGCTGTCCAGCCAGCAAGGGCATATACTCAATGATGGCCAGCCGCACTCGCCACTTGGCATCCTCAGCCAGCTCTACGATGGCGGGCAGCAGGGACTGGGACAGCTGCCGGATGCCGATCACCTCATTTACGCAGTCCAGGTTGGAGATGATGTTCAGCCGCACCTCTGGACACTAAGGAGGTGACAGGAGGGTTCTAAGAGAATACACTGCACATGGCGACCCAGGTCAGGGTGAAAAGAGCTTGGTCGCATCAATTTCATATAACAAACATTTTCTGAGGGCCTACTACTGTCCAAGCCCAGCTGCTGGCACTGGGGACGCGTTAAAGGCACACTCAAAGCAAGCAACATGGATTATTAAGCGAAGCAGCTTTTCAAATCTCATAACAGCAGCACAAGAAATGTTTAGCCATTTTGAAGAATTTGTGGGAATCATAATGTAAAAATATGGTACCCCAGAAAGAACAGACATGATAACAATCCCACTCTACTGTTTGTGAGTGGGAGCCCTTGGGATTTAACCTTTCTGGATATCAATCTGTGACAGGGAAACATCCACGTAACCGCAGAGTGGCTGAGGCCATCAAAGTGCCTGCCAGTGTCTGATCCACAAAGGGCCTGACATGTGAGGGCTTATTATCACTATCATTTCTATTCCTTTTATTCTCTCTGCTAGTCTTGGAGCTCCCCAGGGAACACATCTAATTCCTTTATGACTCCAGTACACAGTAGAGTCTCTGGCCTACAGTAGGTACTCAATACATTTCTGCTAAAAGAAAGGACGAAGGAACCAAAAAATATTTTGAACTGCTTGTTGACTACCAATATTATGAGTTCTGATTTACAGTACATATATATGTACCCCATTAACTTCCATAAGACATGTAAAGCAACTTATAAGAAAAGGTACATAAACATAATTAGTTCTTGCTAATCAAAACAGGAGCCCTACTAGACTAGATCCTTGTCCTTCACCACATATTCCTGGATGGCAAACACTGCAAGATAATTCTTTCTACATCTCTCTCCAGAAGCTATGGGGTGAAGAAGCAAGCACGGAATGAATCAATGAACCAAGTAAGCAAGTGTGCAGTAAAGGGCTAACTCAGCAGGCCTCAGCTATTCAAACTCGGCATATTCCAAAGAAAAGACTAGCCCTCGACCAGCTCCTGGGAGATGACCTCTAAGCCCCTGGAGTATCCTGCCTGATAAAACTATTTTTGTTTACCTGAGGGCCTTGGGCCATACCAGATAGTCTATCCTAATAAAGTGACTTATGGGGGAGGCCTTGGGGCATGTTGTGTCAGTTTGACCTCTGGAGGGGCTGGAGACAGAGTAACTTAGCTCAGCCATGCAGGCGGCTGGCTCCATGCCTGTGTGACCAATCCCCAAGAAAACCCCTGGAAACCAAGGCTCTGTAAGCTTCTTTGTTGGCAAACTCCACATGTGTTGTCACCCGTCATTGCTGGGAGAACCCGTGCTGTACATACAACTCTACTGGGAGAAGATAATTGGAAACTCGCACCTGGTCTCTCCCTATGCACCTTCTTCCTTTGCTGACTTTAATCTGTATCCTTTCACACAATTTGTGTGATTGCGGCACAATTTGTGCCGTAATCAACGGCACAAATATAGACATAAGAGCTGTTCTGAGTTCTGAGGGTTGTTCTAGCAAATCACTGAACCTGAGCACGGTTGTGGGACCCAAACATAGCAAGCAACAAAGAACAGTAATGGCAACCACTAGGAGGAGGAGACCCCCTCAGCTGGCACTTCCAAAGGGAAATGTCCCAAGAGGCCCCCAACAATTCCTTTGTGAAAAGCATATAAGTACCTCTTTTCTTAATCAAAAATAAGATTCTCCTTTAGGAACGGAGCACCGCCAATTTTCTGCCAGCCCAATGGCTAAAGAATAAATCTCAGAATGAACACAATTTCACCCCCTACACTGTATTAATTCATTTCTTCCTAAAGCCAAGGATTCTCAGGGAGAGGGAAGGAAATGTCTCAAGGCTAATCAACTTGTTAGCAGGAATGTACTTTTCTGGCACCTTCCTTTAAATCTTCCACCAGATATAGTTGCTTTAAATGTTTGTGAAACACTGTTTACATAAATTACATAAACTGATATAAATGCTTCAACTTTAAGCTTACTTAGCTTTTCTTAAAGGGACCTTATATCCATTATTCGTAAAGGCATCAATTGTCATAAAGGTAAATAAGAGCTTTTTACCCATTCTTTCTTTCTCTAAAGAAAGATCTCTGGAGTGGGAACTGCCTATGTCTGCCATCTTCATCCCAGTCCGTGAAAATGAGTTAACTTCTATGTGTAAGTGTCAGGATATACTACTGGATAATGTAATCAAAGTGCTGCATTAGAACAAAAAGAAGATTCAAACAACCTGAGTAGACCAAGACGTGCTCAGATACAGGGGCTGGGAGAAGAAAAGGAAGGAGACACATTCTCTTCCCTCAGCACGGGATGAAGGCATCTGTAATACCCAATAAGGAGATTTCTCTCTTGAATAAACTGAAATTAACTGGATTGAGGCATAATTTGAATAAAAACCATCTGAAGTGCCCATAAAAGCATTTTGATGGACTTCCTGAACTGCGTGGAGACCCACAGGCTGAGTTTGGTCTCAGCACAAGGATGATGAAGAATTAAAGGAGTCAGCACATATCCAGGACTGCGAGCAGAAATGTTCCCAACAGTGAATGGGCTTCTTTCCTTTCCCTGAAGAAGGTTAGCAACACACAATTCTAAAGATGGAAAAATACTGTGCATGCTCACATGGGGGTCTCACCTCAGGATACAAAGGAGTACCAAGTGCCCAAAAATTCACACTACCTATTTGGATATGGGCTCTGAAGCAGTACAGGAGTCAAACTAAACCTCCGTTGTCAATAGGCTTACTTCCCCAGGCTGCAAATTGTTCTCTGGTACAGAGCACCTGCCGTCTCAGAAAGCCCAGATGAGGGCCGCCCCCGTGGCTTAGCAGTTAAGTGCGCGTGCTCTGCTACTGGCGGCCCGAGTTCAGATCCCAGGCGCGCACCAATGCACCACTTCTCTGGCCATGCTGAGGCCGCGTCCCACATACAGCAACTAGAAGGATGTGCAACTGTGATGTACAACTATCTACTGGGGCTTTGGGGAAAAAAAAAAGGGAGGAGGATTGGCAATAGATGTTAGCTCAGAGCCGGTCTTCCTCAGCAAAAAGAGGAGGATTAGCATGGATGTTAGCTCAGGGCTGATCTTCCTCACAAAAAAAAGAAAGAAAGCAAGCCCAGATGACAAACTCTGGTCTGCAGCTAAGTAACAACGCTTTTGGGGCATCTGAAAAGGTCAGGTACAATTCTGAGCCTGAGTGTCAGCCAGAGACTAACAGGAAAAGCCTTTCTCAGATGAGGGCTTTCCCACAAACCACCATTACCCTTGGGGATGAGAAAGGAGAGGGAAGAAAATTATTTCCTTGTTGAAACTATTCTGGTCATTAAAAAAATAAATAAATAGGGCTGGCCCGGTGGTGCAGTGGTTAAGTCCACTTGCTCTGCTTCGGCGGCCCGGGGGTTCACAGGTTCGGATCCTGGAAGTGGATCTAAGCACCGCTCATCAAGCCACGCTGTGCCCCACATACAAAAAATAGAGGAAGACTGGCACAGATGTTAGCTCACGGACAATCTTCCTCAGGTAAAAAGAGGAAGACTGGCAACAGATGTTAGCTCAGGGTTGATCTTCCTCACAAAAATAAATAAATAAATAAATATAAATAAATAATAAATAAATAAATGGCACTGAAATGAATCAATGAACCAAATGAGCAAGTGTGTGCAGTGAGAGGTTAACTCAGCAGGCCAAACCCTGCACATTCCTCCAAAGAGGACTGGCCCTTGCTTGGCTCCTGGGAGATAACCTCTGAGGCCCTGCTGCATAAGCTTTAGTGTCCTGAACACAAGAGAAGAGCAGGCTCAAAGATACACCTTACCCACTTAAAAAGACTTCTGTTTAGGTGTACCAAGAAAAGGGTTTGTAAATCTTGGTGAGAGTCAAACGTAAAATATAAAGTTTATTGATCTAAAATCAAAATTCCAGACATAAGCCAGATGAATATCTCACACCAAGAAAACCATGACAGTTCTTTTTTTTTCTTCTTTGCAAGAGAAGTTGTCCTGGGACAGACTGTGGCTGTAGGGATATGAGTACCACATAGTGCTTGCTGAAGGTGAAACTGCAGCAGAAAAATGCTCCAGCCCTAGCACTGTTTAGCAGGTGTCTGCTCACTACCTTCATACACAAGCTGCATCTGAATCCTTTCTTCATGCCAGAAAGCAAAATGCCGTCCCAGACTCTGGAGAGGTGTGCAAAGGACACACAAGTCTACTTGAGGGGCTCCCATCAGCCAAGTTGTCCTCATTTAAGCATCAGAAGCAAATAAAAATTATATTTATAACAAGTTATAGTTACAAAAAGCATGCTTATAAAAAAATATGTGGATGAAGCACTTAGGTCATAAAATTTTGGTCATTATGAAAATTAATGACAGCTCAAACTGTAAGAATTGATATAAATAAATGATCAAGAGTAAGATTACTAAGCTTCTCTTAAAAAGATGTACTGTTTTTTGGGGCCAGCCCCGCGGCTTAGCAGTTAAGTGCGTGCCCTCCGCTACTGGTGCCCCGGGTTCGGATCCTGGGCACGCACCGACGCACCACTTGTCCTGCCATGCTGAGGCAGTGTCCCGCATACAGCAACTAGAAGGATGTGCAACTATGACATTCAACTATCTATTGGCGCTTTGGGGAGAAAAAGGGGAAAAAAAAGGGAGGAGGATTGGCAATAGATGTTAGCTCAGGGCCGGTCTTCCTCAGCAAAAACAGGAGGACTGGCATGGATGTTAGCTCAGGGCTGATCTTCTTCACAAAAAAAAAAAAAAAAAAAAAAGATGTACTGTTTTTTATGTATAAGAAAACCTTGATTTGTAATTCTGGCGTGAGAGATCATCACCCCATAGCAGAATTTAATAATGTGATATTTGGGGGGGGAGGCAGAGGAGTCAAACTCGATGCAACGCTTTCTGTCTGTTACAACGTTTCCTTCAACATCCTAGAACAGTGTGTGTGTGTGTGTGTGTGTGTGTGTGTGTGTGTGTGTGTGTGTCAGGGGGGGCAGGGAGAGAGAAAAACTAAGGTCTTTGGGAGCATAGAAGTTACACTAACAGGTCACACACCAGCAAATGGTGTGACCATCTGCCCAGTTACCACCAAGGCAGAAACCAGGGAACCTGCAAACCACTCCCACCCCGACACGGCCCCTTCCACCTCTTGAAACCTTCCACATCTCTGCAGCCTCACCCCCTTCTCCCAGACCCCTGCAGCAGCCTAAGGTCTAGTCTCCCTGCACCTCTTTTTTTTTGGTGAGGAAGATCAGCCCTGAGCTAACATGTCGCCAATCCTCCTCTTTTTGCTGAGGAAGACTGGCCCTGGGCTAACGTCCATGCCCCTCTTCCTCTACTTTATGTGGGACACCGCCACAGGATGGCTTGACAGGCGGTGCATCGGTGCGCACCCGGGATCCGAACCCCAGGTGGCCACAGCAGAGCGTGCGCACTTAACCGCTAAGCCACCAGGCCGGCCCCTCCCTGCACCTCTTTTGGCCACTGCACTTTGATCTTTCTTTGACATTAGCCTCAGGGCTCCCTTCTAACATCCAGATCTGTTCCAGCGCCTCCACTCACCCAGATTCAACTCCAAAACTACTTTCCTGGCTGTCACCCCATGACCCTTCCAGCCATCGCCGAGCACACTCCCTCATCCTCTGTACTCCAGGCCAACTGAACAGCTAGGTGTGGTCGTGTGACTGGCTCTGGCCAATGGCGTGTGTAGGGTGTGAACAGACTGATGGGTACCCTCTTTTCGGTCTTGCTCTTAAGAGGACAAGGCCTACTGCTGTTCGGTACCTTCTCCCTTCATGCTGGCTGGGAGGTGATGAAAATCAGAGCAGCCGCCTCAGACCCAGAGAATGCAGAAGTCAGCAGGGCTAACTCCTCATTGTAGGCCCACCTACCTCTGGATTGTTGTGAAAGAAAAATAATTATCTTATTTAAACCACTGTATTCTGGGGTCTCTATTATAGCATCTTAGCCTGAACCCTAAAAAACATGAACATAGAACAGTATTTATATGATCATAGAATCATGAGACTGCCCAGCTCTCTCTCTCTCCATTGCCAGTCTCTGAAGGTCTTTGAGGATCAAAACCATCTTACTCTTTTTTGGTATCCCTAATAGCCAGGGAAAGGACTAGCAGAGTAATGGCATGGAAAACAACTGCCTAATAAATGAACGAGTGAACACATAGTCCACTGTGGCCACAAACATTCAACTCATCGGAGATCAGGGTGTCTGCTAAGATTCTAGGAGATTCCTGGCCAATCTGGGAAAGCAGCTGACCTACCTGTCACCTCTGCAAACCTAGAGCTCAGAGTCCTCTCAGTGCCCTTACCTCATCCTTCAGCTGAGCCAGGAAGAGGGGCAGGAGGTGCTCGATGGTGTTGTCTTTGCCCAGGATGGGAGAGAGGCCCATGATGACCGAGGCAAGGGCTGACTTGACGTGTTGGTTGGCATCTGACACCAGCTCCTGGGAGGCAGAAGGAAGAGGAGTCACGGGGTCAGGGCAACTCCTGCAGCAGTAAGTGGCCAAGTAGACCCCAACCCCTAGGAAGCCCAGGCACAGGGCCTGCTTTTGCCCTTCTCCTCCCTCTCCTCTCGGAGCAGCGGACAGCTTACAGTACAAGGGAAACGGTAGCTCCTTATATGTCTCGTCTGCTTAGAGTTCAGTGACCCCTGCTCCCAGCAGTCCCCACTCCAAGCCCAAAGCGCTTTGGATGAGGGGCCTTGGTAACCTTTTAGGGGGAAGCACTCCCACCTCCACGCTCAGCCCCAAGCCTCAGATTTTGCCTGCACTCAGGGCAGCTTCAAACCCAAGACTGCCAGGTCCTAGAAGGCTGGGAACTCAGTTTGCAGCCGGCAGTCCCTAAAGCCCAATATCCACTCTTCTTTTTGGTAGGCTCAAACCTGCTCTACCCCTCCCACCAAACTCCCCATTACCTTGATGCAGGGCAAAATCTGGGTCATGATCACATTCTCCCGACAGTCAGCTGACAGATTTTCACAGAATTCTGTGGGCAGGGAAAGGGAAGCAGGGGGAGGTGAGACCTGATGTCCTGGTTCTGCCTCTAGCCCTTGGACACCCACCCACTTGTTGTGTTCTGGTCGCCAGCACCAACCTTTGACCTTGTGGGAGGCTGCGGCCCTCACCTCGGCCTCACAGTCTTTCATGAGGTTCTGGAAGGCAGGGACCAGGTCTGTCTTGGTGATTTCAGGCCCCACTGCTTTCTGGAGCTGCAGATAGGAAGGTGGGGGGAGTGAGAGGGCTGGGCAGGTACTCTGGGCTAATGAGACCAAAATCAAAGTTAAAGGCACCAGAATTAGGGGCAAGAGCATGGCCCTCGGAATCACTACTGACATCTAATCCCAGCGCCATGGGGTAACCTGGGCAAGTCTCTGAGCCTCGGTTTCCTCATCGGGGAGTACTAAGTTTGGCTGGGTAGCACAGTAGTCACGAGCGTGGCTCTGGGGTCCAATTGCCCAGCTCAAATTCTTATTCTTACTTATCATCCGTGTGACCTTGGACATATCACTTTACATCTCTCAGCCTGTTTCCTCAAAAGGAAAATGAGGACCACGAGGGTACTTACCACAGAGTGGTGTTGTCCCCGTTAAAAATAACAATCCACCTCCCTATGGCTCAGGCTATCTGGGGTTTGGTTTTCTATTACCTGACCCAAAAACATTCTAATGATATGGTGGCACTTGCTTTTCGATTTATATACTTCTGTATTTTTTAAGATTGGTTACCAGAGCATGTATTACTTTTGTACTTAAAATAAAACCAAAGGAAGAAGGTATGCCAAGCCCTGCCTGTCCTATGGCACCAGGCAAGGAAAGATGCATGGGTTCTGCTGCAAAGCTGGTTCTTGAAGACCTGGCAGGAAGCAGGACAGTTCACTACTAAGAAGGGAAAAAATAAGTCAAGACCTTGACGAGCCTAATGCTAAGCTGGGCAAATGCTGCCTTTCATTCATATAACAAATATTTACTGTTTGTAATATATGCCAAGCACTGTTTTAACAGCCTAAATTAAAACCTGCCCTCATTGAGCTTTTATCTAAAACCCAGAGTGACCCAGTTCATGCCATCCAGGAGCCGAGGACAGGCAGAATCGTCCTTAAAGCGTGGTGCTGGGCCTCCCAGGCACATGGACATCCACACAGCCACACTGTGCTAACATTTTCAAAGGGAAAACTGATGGTCCTAGGAAATGTCATCCTGAGGCTCTGAGTCCTTCCAGCAAACACCAGTGGAAATAAGCATAACTACAGGAAAAGGGAGCCACAGGGCAGAGTGGCACCCATGGCCTCTCTGATCAGACCCCGCCCATCTCTCCAGCTTTCTCTCTCATGGGGCCCCCAGGAGCCGGCCCTGAATGTTTTGCTTATGCTTGCTCTTGCCTCTCAGGGTTCTCTGCACATGCTGTCCTTCTGCTAGATCACAGTTCCTGTCCCAGCTCACATCCATTCATCTTCTAGAACCAGCTGTGTCATCACCTCCTCTCCTCAACGCTTCTACACCCCACGTACACCTGTTGGCCCCAGCACCTGTTAACACTTTATTATTAAATTTCCCCCTATCTCAACAGACCTTCCCCTTCAGGATGCCTGCTCCTGGAAGGCCTCGAATGTTCTGAATTCACTATACCCCCAGTGCCCAGCAAAGAGCTGGTGCTAACAAACTTTTCGGTGGGATAAGGAAATTTGGATCCCCCACGGAAAAAGCACTGTCCTGGAAGTCAGAGCCATGGGATCTTGTCCCTGTTCTGCCTGCCTGGTGGTATCACTCTGACCAGTCAAACTTCTGGGCGTGTTATGGGCTGAACTGTATCCCCTTCAAACTCATATGTTGAAGTCCTAACCCCCAGCACCTCAGAATATGACTGTATTTAAAGATAGGGCCGTTAAAGAGGTAATTACGGTGAAATGAGATCATTAGGGTGGGCCCTAATCCAAAATGACTGGAGTCTTCATAAGAGGGGGAGATTAGGACACAGAGGTACACAGAGGGAAGACCATGTGAAGACATGGGGAAAAGATGGCATCTACAAGCCAAGGAAAGAAGTCTCAGAAAAATCACCCCTACTGACACCTTGATTTTAGACTTCTAGCCTCCAGAACGGTGAGAAAGTAAAGTACCACTCAGGTAGTGTTACTTTGCAGTGGCAGCCCTAGCAAACTAATGCAGGCTACATCTTCCCTTCTGTAAAAGAAGAGCAAGTTCAATGAAGTCAGGAACACACATGCACTACCCTTCTCTGCTCCTGTGGTGCTCTCTCCCACAGAACCTCGAGTTGGCCTCAGAATCCTCAACACAGGACTTCAAGTTACCAATAACAATTAACCAGAGTTGGCATGTGAAATGAGAACTAACTGGATAATCATAGAGATCTTACTGCTCAACGACCCAATGATTCCACTGAGCCCAACTAAAAGCCCCAGCTTCTCTATGTGGCCCCACTGACAGCCTCAGTTCCCCCATCTGTGAGATACTGTCAACGGTTCCTCACCTACCTCTGTGAACTTGTCGGCCACCATGTATCGGACGCGCCAGGACTTGTCCTCAGCAGCCTGACGCAGGGTTGGCATCACCAGGGCCTCCAGATCCTCCTGGGGCAAGAGCTGGGCAATGTTCACACACGCCTCCACAGCCAGCAGCCGCACCGAGTCCTGAGGAGAGGATCGGAGCAGGGAGAGGGCAGCAGAGGCCCATTAGTTGTAAGATTCCCTTTCAAACGCAGGGTCTGCCAGAGGGAGAGAAGGACAGGGAGCAGAACCCACCTGCTCGTCAGAGGCCAGGTTGGAGAACATGGGGATGATCTCACTCTTGACGTTGTCCAGCTCTAGCACCTTGGCGAACTCCCCCAGCTTGGAGGCTGCGGCCCGCCGCACCATGGGGGTGTCATCTGAGCACAGGTTCCGGAAGTACCTGGGGGTCAGGGATGGGGCTCAGGAGGAAACTCTGGGATCCCAAGGCAGCAGGCAGTGCAGCAGAGAGGAGTGAGCACAGACTCTGCAGTCACGTGGGTCCTGGCTTTGCCTGGGTGCCCTTGGGAAAGTGATGACCCCTCTCTGAGTCTTCCCAGTCCTATACAAGGGAGCCGATAACAGGACCTACCCTACAGGGTCATTGTGAGGTTTAAATGAGACAACATGTATGAGACACTTAGCAGCCTGTCTGCATGTAACAAGTCTATAGCAAATGGCAGGAGCTGATTATATTGTTATGACCATATAAAACTGCTTAACTAGGATGCTGGCCTGGGACCACTCAAAGGTTTTACCTTTCAGCAGCAATTGCCCCAGTTAGAGATGCATGTGAACGCAGATCTTTAAGCACGCGTGGGCAGTGGAGATCAGTATTCTGGCATCAGTAAGACCTCAGGGGTTAGGCTTTCTGCTCAATAGTTTGTGGAGTTGGTGGATGGATGGAAGTCCAGAGGGAGGGGAAGAAAGATAGACTAATAGGACATTTTAATCCAATTAGAAGCATTTTCATTCATTCTTTTGGAAGGCAAGTCTTGCATACAAGAAATTCCTCAAGGTATCAAGCCAAAGGGGAGAAGGGTGGAAGAGGAGACAGCCACACCTAGACCATCTATGTGAGAGGGTTCTGGACCCGGCCAGGGATTAAGATGGCAACACACATCACTTATTGAGTGCTTTTATGTGCCACATTATGCTCTAAGTACTGTGCATGTGACAATTCTTTTCAATCCTCACAACAACCAATGGGAGGAAGGAACTATCATTATCTCCATTCCCTAAATGAGCAAGAGGTAGCACCTGGATTTAACCCAGCTGTGTCCAGAGACCAGGCTCCGGGTGACACCATCTCTCTGAGGAATGGGAGGGGGAGAGTGGGGGCTGGGAACACTCAGGGGTGTTTGGGCCCTGGGGTGACCTAACGTGGGGCTGAGGCCTGAGAGAAGAGGACCACACTGAGGCGGGAGGTTGGGGCTTCTCAGGGGCCAGAGGCCAGGACTCACTGTCGAAGTTCCGCCTTGACAGCGCTGGACACACGGGGGTAGCAGACGGAGAAGAGGCCGCAGGCCGAGGTGCGGGAGGTGAACCAGTCGCCACCCGCCAGCCGCTTCACTAGTGGCACGAAGTGGGCCTCGAGGTCGGAGGGTGAGTGCTCATGTGAGATGGCCCGCAAGGACTCCACCGCCTTGTCCCGTACCACTGTCTCCTCCACTGTGGCCAGTGACTCCAGGGGCGGCTGTGGCGCAGAGCACAAGGTCACCCGACAGCTCCCTCCTAACCACTCCAAGCCCCGGAGCCCCACCCTGCAACCCCTCCAAGAAACCTTCTCTGATCACCCTATCCAGCCTTCATTCAGCGCGCCTTCCCTGCAGAACCACAATGAAGAACTTCATTTAGAGGTCCTTGAAGGAGCTTCAGAGGGGTCCGTGAACCTCAAAATTATACATGTCACTTTCTGAGGAGAGGACGACAACTGTCATGAGCTTCTCAAAGTGCAATAATAATCACTGACGCTGGCTGGAACATCTATTCACTATGTGTTCTAAGCAGGGCCACTAGACTGCACAACTCCAGGGAGTGCGGGTTCTAACCCACTGAATGCTATGAAGCAGACCCTGTTACTGTCTTCATTTTAAAGAGAGAACTGAGGCACAGACAGGCTCAGCAACTTGCCCAAGCTAGTAACAGCGACGAGCCAGGCTCTAACTCAGGCCACCTGGCTCCAGAGCCCCCAAAGGGTTGAAAAGCACAGCTGGGGTTTCTCACAGGCAATGCACCAGGGGCACACATTACTGAGGGATCCTGGGGTTCATGACTGCTCACGGGTTTGTTACTGTGAGGCCTGGAGTGGTTGTGCTCCTTCAGGGACATTTGATTGATTCACCATTGAGTCCCCAGAGCCCAGCAGAGCTCCTAACATAGGGCAGGAACTCAGTCATCACTGACCTAAGGAAAGGAGACTCAATTTATCCTAATCTGTTCAAATAAAGGTGTGGAGGTCTGTAGTCTGAAGTCCAGCCTGGCTTGACAGCTATAGAAGGCAGAAACAAATAATAAAGGAAATGCCGCCAGCGCACAGGCAGGTAACAGAATGAAGCAGTGAACAAAGGTGACGGGTGGGGACAACAGAGAGTCAAAGACCATGGCATGCAGCCTAGGGAGGATGGCTGCTTTCCAGCTCCACCAACTATCACCATGGGGAACGGCTGGTAAAAGCAAATTTGGCTTTTCACGAGCAGCCAAAAGGGCCAGGTTTTTACAAGTGAAAAATCTCATTTAACGCATGCTACAACATGGATGAACCCCAAGGACATTACGCTCAGTGAAATAAGCGAAGTCACAAAGGTCCACCTACTGTATGGCTCCTTTATATGAGGGACCTAGAGTAATCAGATTCATAGAGACAGAAAGCAGAAGGGTGGGTGCCAGGGGCTGGGGGAAGGGGGGATGGTAAGTTACTGGTTAATGAGCACAGAGTTTCAGTTTGGGAAGATGAGAAAGTTCTGGAGACGAATGGTGGTGATGGCTGTACCATAGGTTGAATGTACTTAACGCCACAGAACTGGCATTAAGAACTGTACACCTAAAAATGGTTAAAATGGTAAATTTTATGTATATTTTACCACAACAAAAAAAATTGAAAAGAAATCAAAGTATTTTTTAAAAATCTCATTTACAAAAGCTTGGCAATGATTCAGAAGGAAAATGTAATGCTTTGCCGGCCAGTGTGGCCTCTGCTGTAGGGTTTCCAGTTCAGCATCAGCCCACGGGGATGTAGTTAGAAGTGTGGTGTCACTGGGCTACTGCAGGGACTGGGTTCTTGTTTTCCTGCTACCCGGGCTGGCACACAGGAGGCTCTTAATCAGTATTTACCTCGTGACTGGAAGTGGAACTTAGGGTAATGTTATAACAGAGGCCTGGGGACCACGGCTGAGCAGTAGTTATGTCACCCAAGGGTCTCTGCCCCAGTGGGTTACTGCAGGGAGAGGTTCTCACAGTGTGGTCCCCAGACCACCCCCAGCAGGATGACCCAGGAGGCCTCTCCCAGCACACACGTAAAAATCAGACTCTCTCGGGCGGGGTGCAGGAGGGGGCGCATTCAGGAAACTCCAAGTAATGCTTTTGCACAATAAAGACTCCTGCCCTGAGGCCTCTGTGAAGGATAGAGGCAGGGTTCTCAAACCCGGAGACCATGTAGGGGAAGGCGAGAAGTGTGAACCTCCTAAAATCACCTGTGCTTTTACGAGAGGGTCTAGAGTTTTTGTCAGATTCTCAAAGGGATCCACCATTATGGAAGGGTTAAGAGCTGTTGACAGAGAAACAATCCTCGTGCTGCAGCTACATGGGTCCCTGTGAAATCACAGTCCTCCCTCAGTACCCGCAGAACAAGGGCGTCCCATCTGCAGATCATAAACATAGTACACAACCCGAGGTTGTTTGATCCTCGGTTGTTTGAATTTGCAGGCACAGAACCTGTGGATACAGAAGGCCGACTGTAATTCCATTTCACCACTGCAGAGAACGAGGGCTGGGATCGGGTCTGACACACCTCTGGGTTTCCAAGGCCCAGAGTCCTTGCTTATGTTTGTGGAATGAACAAATCGCACAACAGCCATTTTCTACTTCTCATAACCTGTCAAAATCCAGGTTAACGGCCACCTCTTCCAGAAGGCCTTCCTTGCTGGCCCCTCCATCCCATCTAAACCAGGTGCCTCCCCTGGGTTCTAAAGGCCCTTGGCTTCCCTCTTTTCCAGCTCTGATCAGCCTGTAGAGCAACCAGGAGCCCTCTGAGGATAGTACAGGAGTGGTAGTAGTTAAAGAGTCAGAGGCCTGGGTTCAACCAGCTCAGGCAATTCCCTTAAACCAGCCTGTGCCTCAGTTTCCTCATCTGTGACCTGGGGCTAACACATCTCTCAGCACACATCTCTCAGTCACTGTGGGACAGAATGAGTTACTATGCCAAAGGCACTTGGAATACACGCTGCAGGTGCTGACTGAGCACCAGCTATTCTGACTTACTTCTGGGTTCCCAGTATTGCCCAGCCCAGAGGGCTTCAGGATACTTCTGCTGGCTGATGTTAACGTCATGGACACCAGTCCCAGGGGTGTCACGTGACTGCTTCCTAAACGGAAGCGTGGGATGACTCGGGTTTCCCTCACTGAGAATGCTCTGTGGGAAGACCCTGACCTGGCTGGGGAAAGACCGTGGGTTCCAGTCCCGTCTCCACAGCAAGCCTGAGTCCCTATCCGGTCTGTGAGCCCTGGGGTTCTTAACACTGTTGTCTGCTCCTGAAAGCAGTGAATCCTCTCCTCAGAAAAACTGACAAATGCCAGGAGCTGCAGATAGTTCCACAGAGTTCAAAGGACCCCTTTCAAGCTGGTCCATGGACTTCATCACGTTCCTTGTGTTAAGCAGCCCTATTCTACGTAAAATGTATGAAATGATCTCATTCACAATTTTCTGTGTGTATGTACACACAAATTATACACATACACAGAGATGAAAGTTGAGATATCAGAATTTAATGGCATTTATTCAATTTCCTTAGACTTAATGCTGTTTGGGAGAAAAACAAACAAATTACTAGATCTGCTCAAATCCAAGATCCCAACAACTATAAAAAACATCATTATTTTATATACCATTAAAAGGAAGAAAGGCTGCTGACAACTGTAAAACACCATCAAGTGCAAATGCCCAAGTATGAAAATGTGTCTTCAGAAACAGGAAATACAGAGTTATCGGGGAGAAGAAAAAGACAGCAGCAGTGGCCCAAGGCTCTGAGGAACAGAAAAATCAAGGGTCTGGGTAACCTGTAAGGCTCTTCTCCCCAGATCACAGGACTGGAGTAACCCCCGGACGAAAACAGGAGTCCTCCCCTTTCTTCTCCCAAACAACAGTTACTGTTAGTATGTGACTCATCTCTGTGTCCCCAGTAGACACTTAGCACAAGGTCGCACAGGCAGGCAGTGGGGTAGGGGTCTGGGGAGAGTCAAATGGACACACCTGGAATCCCAGCTCTGCCACGTACTAGCCCTGCGACCTTGGACAAGACGCCCAACCTCTCGGTGCTCTGGGTGGCTCATCTATAAAAAGGGAGTCCTCCCTACCTCGAAGGGTGGACATGACCTCATAACATATGGCATAATGGCAACTAACACCTGTTAGTACTTACTATGTGCCAAGTCCTGCACTAAGGGCTTCTTAAGTTGATTATAAAGGTAAGTTTTAATGACTCCCATTTACAGATAAGGAAAGCATAGCACAGAGAGGGTAAGTAACTCTTACAAGCCACATAGAAAATAAGTGGTAGTACCCAGCCTGACTCCAAACCCAAAGCCTTATATGTAAAGTGTCAGGTGGGGCCTGGCACTGGTCAGGCAGGTGCCAGCTAACAGTAAGGAAGACAACTGCATTTTCAGTATTGCTGTAGCAAATACAACTACTGACTTGTTGGATTAAAGTGAATGCCCAAGGCCCATCTGTCCGGAGAAGGCGACCCCAGCCTCACCTACACTCTCCCTTCCCTGCCCCTGGCTGACAGGAGCAGGGGTCTGACCCCCAGGGGCAAGCAAGGAGACTTCCCCGCCTTCCAGACTCACCAGCAGGCAGTGCACGTATTCAGGGCCTCCCACCAGAGTGGTGAAGGTTCCCAGCTGTTCCGCCAGGGCCAAGAGGACCTCATCCTCATCGTAGATGGTGTCTGTGGGACCAAGACAGACTGTGTTATAGTCTCACCCCAAGTCTGAACCCAGCCCCTCAGTAACCCAAGCTGGGAACAAGCAGGCTCCACTCTGCTTCCTCAAACTGTTAGCACTCACAGCACTCCACCTGGACTGGCACAGGCTTAGGTCGGATGACAGAGGACCCAAGTCCCACTTCTGCCCTTTATTTGGTGTGGGACTGGGTGTGTAAGACCACCTCTCTGAGCCTGTTCCTATATCTGTAAAATGGTGCTAATCATCTCTACCTTTTAGTGAGGAGAGAGTAAGTTCATGTGCACGAAGTGCAGAGTGACAAATGGGAGCTTTTTTGTTCGGGTTCAGCTTCTACCCTCAGCACTGTTCTCTCTGCCAGGAATTGCTTGCTCTTCAGCCTGAGAAATTCTTCTCCATCCTTCGAGACTCAGTTTAGCTACTCTTCTTGGAAGATTTCCAGGATGCCCCCCAGACAGGTCAGGTCCCTCTCTGGGTTCCCCTTACCCCCATGCCACCTTTATCAGAGTCTTTATCCTAAGAGTCCAGGACTGGCTCCTCTCTGTGCCCCAGCGCCTGTCAGAGACGAGCACACTGGGAGCTTAATCCAGGTTTACTGAAAGAACAAATGATTGTGTGAAGACAGAACTGCTCTGCCCTAACATCTAAATCTAAAGGCCTTTCGCCTCAAGCTCCGTCCTCTCCTTCCTTGAGGCAGTGGCAACTGCTGACCTCTATGGCAGAAGATGCCAACATCCCTAGCATCTAAGCTAGCACTTAAATTACCTGAGTTTAAGCTAGGCATATGGCAACCCAGCCAGAGATCACTTTTCCCAGGCTCCCTTGCAGCTGCATGGCCATCTGACCACGCTCTGACTGACAGGATGGGAGTGGAAGTGGTGAATTCAACTTCTGAGTCACTTCCTTATCACAATCCTCTCATGGAGTCGTCATCATCATCATCCCCATCTTGTGGTGAGTTCAAATCCTGCTCTACTGTTGGCTGGTTGTGCAACAACTCACTTCATCTCTCTGAGCCTGTTTTCTCATCCCCCAAATCATAAAAATAACATTGTTCTGAGACTGAAGTGAAACAAAAGCTTTCTGTGAGGAGCTCCCCCGGGGCCTGGCACGAGAGTTAGTGCTTCAGTAAATTCTGGCCATTGTGGTTCCGGGCACACAGGCTCTTGGGCCCATTCTGAGTCTCAGTTTCTCTGGATCCCTCTGTACAGTTAACACTCCCCTCCCTGTTTTCTTTGTCTATCTCCTGGAGACATTATGCATATCCACAGCCTCAACTTATACTCAACTCAATCTCCAGTCCAGGCTCCTTGCCCAAGCTACATTCCTGAAAGCCAAATATATGGAAACTGCCAACACCTTGTATTTCCATTATTCCCACCTCTACAGAACTGCTTTCCCAGGCTTCCCAGCCTCCCCACCCTCCCAGCCTCAAAGGTCTGGGGACTCCTCCCTGCCTCTCTGACCCAGACCTGTCAACTTTCCATTTTAATGTCTCTCTGATCACCACCCTCTGGCTGACTGCAACAGCTTCCTAACTGGTTTTTCTATTTCTGCCCTTGCCCTCAAACCACCCATTCTCCTTCCAGAATCCAGAGTGACCCTAGGAAACTGTAAAAGAAATCATGACATTCCCCCACCTCAATATTCCAATGGTTTCTGAGAAACCTGAATTAAAATCCAGACTCTGGATATCATGATCCCATGAGATGTGGCCACTGTACTTCTCCAAACTCAAGCCCTACACTCACCCTCCCTCAAACACTGCCCAACCCACAGCCACCACATGCAAGGATATGCCTGCCTCTCCTTCTGCCCGAACATTCTTCCCCCAGAGTCCTACGTGGCTGGCACTTCCATTATATTCAGGTCACACCCTCAGGAGACCTGCCCTGACATCCCGCTGTCATATCCCTTACCATTACTCGCACTTCATCTCTCCTTCTGGCCTCATCACTCACTGCCTATTCCCCCAACTGGAATGGAAGCTCTGCGAAGACAGAAACTTTGACTTGTTCTCTATCTCAGACACACAACACATAGTGGGAGTGCATTAGATATTTATGGAATAAATATGCCTTTAAATGGCCTACTAAAAACAATGTTTTTAAATGTACTGTGAATTAGCTTAATGAACTCAGATCTTTCAAATAGAAAATACTCCTCTTTCCTGACCTTGAACAAATGTCACAGCCATGACTAAAGGCAGATCTCAAGCCATTCTCCTCTGTCTCAGGGAACCTGCAGTCAGAGGTCTTCACAACAAAACCATGAGGTGTGTTTAGTGCAAACCTGGGATTTCTGAGCCTACTTTTCATTAGTGTTTACCTGAGTACCAGTCTCTAAATGGCAGGCTACTTTTCAGCCCATTTAAAAATACACGTGACTGGACTCACCTTGGAACCCACCCATGTCTCACAAATTATGGCCAAAAATTACCAACACTGGTGTCTTTAACACAGTAGGGACGTCATATGGTAACTTTTTCCTTATAATACCGATTCTGAACATTCTGTAGGTATTAGCTCAGAGAGGGCTCTTTGCTTGACTGAAACAGTATCACCATTTCTGAAAGACACAGCATATCTGCCATTTGCTATTTGAACATTTTGAAATGGATGGAAGCCCAAAGCAAAGCAAACCTGATATGACTTGGGACTGCAACAGCTCAAAGAAATCTCTCTCCTGAATCACTGGCTCCTCTTCAATCTTATGGCTCCCACACTACTCTGTCTCCCACAGTTCCTCTCATCTGGATTATTAATATTATAATATTATATGTGACTCTACAATATAATGAAGATAACATTTACACACTAAATTCTCAGAATCCTCATAATGGCCCTAATACGTATTATATGATTGTCCCCATTTTACAGATGAGGAAACGAAGCACGCCGAGGCTGGGACTGCACCCAGGCAGTCTAACTCCAGTGGCTCTTAGCCACTGTCTCCCAAGTCGACGTCCTGCCTCTGCCGTTCTTTCACCTATCTCACCCCTCAACACAATTCTGCAGGCATGTAAGGTTTATTTGTCTACATCTCATCCTACCTGCCCTCTACCATCTATCTCCAATGGCTGCCCTGCCTTCATCTACTGGATTAAACCTAGACTGTCACCCGGCATTCAAGACCAGCAAAATCCAACCCACCATCACCCACTATCACCCACCTACCCCTGCACCTCTCCCAGCATCCCTCATCCTGGCACATTACCGTGTTCAATCTTGCCTCCATTTGCTGTTTACTCCTCTCTATTTCCTGCCCCAGGCTGCCTTCTTCACTACCTCATTACAGAATTACCAACAGAACACAGCGAGTTTTCTATGGACCAGGCTCTGTGTGGAGCAGTTAATCCTCCCCACAACCCTGTGAGTTAGGTCCTACACTTACGCCCCTTTACAGATAAGGGAACTGAGGCGAGGCGGTGGAATGGCTCACCCAGGTTTGCCCAGCAGGTTGGTGGCACAGCTAGGTTTCAAACCCAGGTCACTCCAACTCTATTTTCTCTACAACTTTTTAACCACTTTGTTACACTGCTGTGCCACACCCCTCACGCCAGAAGTTGTCCCTGTCTCAGCATTTGAAAGCTTTCCAGTCTCTCTAATGGTTTACCAGTGGAAGCCACTTGGTTTGGGGTCATCTGCTCAGTGTCACATGTGTAGATACCTACTCCTTATGTGGTGTTCAGGGGCAGACACACCTGTGCTCCTCAATCATCAGCTGTGTCACTGTGGGCAAGCCCCTGCAAGCCTCAATTACCCCTTGTCAAATGAGGAAGTAGTAATAATCTCTGCCTCCCTCATCCCCATCATCACCACCAGGTCCAAGTGAGAGGACCAGATAGGAAAGAGTTTCATACAACAAAGCACAGTGTGACTCTGAGCCTTTACTTGCGATTTCAGTTAGTATAAAGTACGAAGTTATAAGAAGAATAATGGGAACGGAGGATTTACTACTAATCAGTGGTCCAGTCTATGTCGGACAGTGCTGTGCACACAGCTTCACAGACAGGAGAGCTTGGGAACAGTCTAATCACTAACACTAAGCAGTCCTTACCACATGCTGGGCACTGATATGAGCACTTTACATGTTAGCTTATTTCATCTTCGTAGCAGATCTATCACGCCCATTTCACAAATGAAGAACTGGAGGCAGGCAGATGTGAAATACCCTGCCCAAGGTCACACAGTTGGGAAAGTTGGTAGAGCTTGGATTTGAGCCCAGGTAGCCAGGACCCCGAATCTGTGCTATCAGTCATTAACCAATGCTGTCAAGTTTGGAGCCAGCATGACTAAATAAATCTCCTCTCCAGGTTGCCTCCTAACCGTATAACCAAATAAATTGCTTCACCTCTCCGTGCCTCAGTTTCCTCATCTATAAAATGGGGGTAGCAGTCTTACCTACTTTAAGGAATTGCTGAGAGATTAACTCGGATAACAATGGTGACATACAGGCACTGTTTTAAGGCCTCTGTGAACGAACTCAATCCTCACAAGAAACACTGCCTGGCACGTGGTAGGCATGTAATAAGTGTTAGCAATTATTATTATTATTATAATTATTTAATGCACACATCAATGCTACACCACATGTATAATTATTCCCATTTTATACATTAAAACTATACAGGACAGTGAAGTTAAGTAACTTGCCTAAAGTCACAGCTTCCAACTGTTGGAGCTGCAATTCAAACTTGGCTCTATCTACCTCCATACCCCTTTCACCAATCCCTGCTCCCACCTCACAGTGCCTAGCACAGGGGAGACACTTACAGTCTGTTAAATCCACAGCGAGGCCTCTCTCCTATTTAGCAGGATCCACTCCCAACAGTCCCCATTCCACCCCATTCCACTTGGACCCTAGAAGTCCACTTCGTTACCTGTAAGGAAGGGCAGAAGCTCACTGCGGGTCCTTTCCACCCCGAGGGCCAAGGCGATGGTGGACAGCTTCTTGATACTATTGAGACGAAGCTAATGAGAGAGAGAACAAGAATAGGAGGGGAGAACGTCAGCAAGCCCAGACTTAATGGAGTATGACAGCTCTGGACCTAGTTAGGCCCCAGAAGCCTCGCTAAGTATGTGTGAGGATGCTGAATAATAACCTGGCAAACACCTACCAAGTGACTCTGTGACTTCGAGTCCTTAAATTACAATGGTAGCAGCAGGCTCAGCAAAAGCATCCATTGGGTCTTACTGAGCCGACACCCACTCAGTGGCACTTTCCAAGACCACTCTGTCTAAAACTGTGGCCTGCCTCCCCAACACTCGCTACCCTCCTTCTCTGCTTTAGCCCCGGCCTGCAACTCAGCACCATCTAACAGGCTATGCATCATACTCTAATAGCGGCAGCCACGTTCACAGCACGCTTACTCTGTGCCAGGGCCAAGGCCAGGCACTCACACGCACGGTCTCATTTAACTCTCAGGACAACCCTGAGGTCAGAGAGTTATAAGCCCCGTTCTGCAAAGGAGGAAATGGGCTCAGGGAGCTACAGCTCCTCCTAAGAGCCATACAGCTCAGATGGCGTGGAGCAGGGACTGGAACCCAGGACTGTCAGCTAACAGTGATGTGAACAGAACAAACATTATAATAACATTGCTATTAAAACAGGAGTAGTATTGGCTGTAGTGATACCACTAGTATAATGGGTTAAATGGTGACCCCAAAGAGATATGTCCCAGTGCTAACCCCCAGTACTCATGAATGTGAAAACAGGGTCTCTGCAGACGTAATTAAGCATTTCAAGATGAGATCATCCCAAATTCAGGGGGGGCCCTTGTGAAAAAACAGAAAACAAATATATTTTGGTCTCTGCCCCAGATCTTGATACAGTGCTCCTTAAACTCTTACAATTTCCTAAGTGATAAAAGTACTAGGAGCATCTTTTGTTCGATATTTGGTCTTTGACCCTGTCCCTGACACCGAGCTCCAAAATCCCATGGAATTCCCTGGGTGACAGCACTATCCTTTGTTCTAAGAGGTGACTCTTGGTGGACTCCTGGCCACTAGAAAGACCAAGCCAAGATTAGAAACTTCGCACTTCCAGTCCCATTCCCCTATTCTCCAGATAGGGGCTGGAAATTAAGTTAATGATCAATCATGCCTATGTGATGAAGCCTCCATAAAAATCCCCAAAGTATGGGGTTTGGGGAGCTTCCAGGTTGGTTAACACATCCACATACTGGGAGTGTGATGCACCCCAACTTCAGGGGGAAAGAGGCTCCTATGCTCGGGACCCTTCCAGACCTCACCTTATGTATCTCTTCACCTGGCTGTTCACCTGCATCCTTTACCATTTGTTGTTGTTAGTGCTGTCAAGTCGATTCCTACTCCTAGCACCCCAGTGTACAGCAGAGCGGAACCTTGCCGGTCTTTTTGCACCATCCTCTCATCTTCTGGCAGCGTATCAGACAATGCTCCACTGCTATTCATAGTGTTTTCATGGCCAATTTTTTTGGAAGTGGATGGTCAGGTCTTTCTTCCTAGTCTGTCACTTTCTGGAAGCTCCACTGAAACCTGCCCACTTTCAGTGACCCTGCTCACATTTGAAATACCATTTACAGCTTTCAGCATCACAGAAACACGCAGCTGCCACAGTATGACAACTGACAGGTAGGTGGTGAGGTTCCTTGACTGGGAAGTGAACCTGGGCCGTGGCAGTGAGAGCGCCGAATTTTAAACACTAAACCACCAGGGCTGGCTATCCTTTATCACATCCTTTATTATATAATAAACTGGTAAATGTGTTTCCCGAGTTCTGTGAGCTGTTCTGGCAAGTAATTGAATCCAAGGCGTGGGGTCAGGGAACCTGCGATTTATAGCCATCGTGGACAGAAGTTGTGGGTAACCAAAAAACCTACTACTTATGATTCGTGTCTGAAGTGGGGGGCAGTCTCGTGGAACTGAGTCCTTACTCTGCGGGGTCTGTGCCAACTCGTCAGTGTCAGAACTGAATTGAATCGCAGGACACTGAGCTGGTGTCGCAGAGAATGGCTTGGTATGTGGAAAATAACCCACACGTCTGGTGTCAGCAGTGCTGAGTGTGGTAGCAGTGTGAGAGTAAAGGAGGAATACAGGAAGAGTGAGTTTTCTCTACACAGCCCTAAATCCAAGGACAGTATCCTTATAAGAGACAGAAAAGAAGACACAGAGACATAGAGAAGGGAAAACGTGAAGGCAGAGGAAGAATTTGGGGTGATGCATCCGTAAGCCAAGGAACGTCAAGAATTGCCAGCAGCCACCAGAAGCTGGGAAAGAGGCATGAAATGGATCTTCTCAGAGCCTCCAGAAGGAGCCGACACTGCTGACACTTTGATTTCAGACTTCTAGCCTCCAGAACTGAGCCTAATTTCTGTTGTTTTAGCCACCATATTCGTGGTGCTATGTTGTGGCAGCCCTAGAAATCTAACACATTTGGCTCACACGTGCAATAGGTCTCAGGCTGAGCATTTACGTGTTAGGACCTTGTTTGATCCTCTCAATCCTAGGGAAGAAAGCACAACTAATACCCTCTTTCCCCATTGTGGAGACAGCCTCAGAGAGGTAAAGACACCTGGCTAAGTCAGCACTGAGAGAGCTGGGATCCAAACCCAGCTGCTCTGACGGGACGGCCAACATCCCTCCTGTTTCTCCATGGGGCCTCTCCTCCCTCCCTCACAGGGCTGTGGCCAGAATGCAATGAGATCATGGGTGTGAGAGTGGAGGGAACCGCCCTCATGAATGAGTAAGCTGCCACCGAGGACAAGTGAGAATCCTCTTCCTGGAAAAAGCAGGACAAGAAGGGACCCAGGGCTCCCTCAGCCTGTTCTTTTCCCGGGCCCCACACACCTGCAAAGAGGCCTGTGACTGACCAAGGCCCTACATTAGTTCAGTTCTCTAGTTTAAGGGGTCTAGGAATCTCTTTGGGATCATAGAGAATGAGAATCTGGAGAAATGCTAGGGTGGCCTTTTTTCATACAATGTCACCAGGTTTTCTGTACTACCTGGGCTTGAGGTGGTCCAAACACTCACCTCCCTGGTAGTAAAAGGACCTGACATTATGTATTACAAGGCCTGCATCATCTTTTTAGCCAAAAAATAAAATGTATATAGACATAGACCTATAGAAACAGATAAAAAAACTAAACAGGGTGAACACTAACAGTTAGTGAATCTGAGTAGTCAGCATAGAGGTGCTCACAGTACCAGCCTAGACGTCAGCAAACTTTTTCTGTAAACTGCCAGGAAGTAAACGTTTTCAGCTTTGTGGGCCACATGGTGTCTGTCCCAACTACTCAATTATGCCCCTTGCAGCACAACAGCAGCCATAGAGCCAATGATACACAAACAAATGGGCATGGCTGTGTTCCAATAAACTGCATTTGCAAAAGCAGGTCATGGGTGGAATTTGGCCTATGGGCTGTAGTTTGCTGGCCCTTGGACTAGTCTTTCACTGTTCTGTATGTCTGAAATTTCCCATAATAAAATACTGGGGGAGTATTGACTTAGTTGCCTGTTTCTTTCTTCTCTGTCACCTCCAAGTTAGATCTCTGTGTTCTTCTCTTAGCCAGGCTATGGGAAAAGTACACATAGGCCAGGGCCACAACAGGTGAGTGGCACGCCTGAGGACAAGAAGATGCTGGCAGGGAATAATCATAACGACAGTAACGGCAGCAGCTAACATTTATCAATTGCTTACTATGAGCTTGGCAGCATTCGAGTGCTTAACATGGATAATTAACACATTTAATCCTCACAGCTGTGCTCTGAGAGAGGCACTGTTACCAGAATCCTCCTTTCAAAGGATGAGGACGCTGATGCAAAGATGTCACTTGCTCAAAAGCAGCACAGCCTGGACCAGAAGCCAGGCAGTCTGACTCTCAATTGCAACATCACACTGTCATTTAGGCAAGATGCCGCATGAGAATCGGGCTGTCTCTGACACCATGGAGAGCTCCTTCCTTCTACTTCTGTCCTTGGAGATTCTGGTTTCGGTTTTGCTAAGCATGTCCACTGGTTTCTTCAGTGCAGATGGGCCGTGGACACTCGAGACAGGCAGCATGCAGTGGTGCTTTGGAGCCGCACGGCCCAGGTTCAAGGCTAAACTGCTTGACATATTAGCTGTGGGATCTTGGGACACTTCTGTGCACCTTTCTAAGCCTCAATTTTCTCATCTGTGAAATGGAGATTATAATAATACCTACCCTCAGAAAGCTATTGTGAGTACAAAGTGATAAAATACTGGGAACACCCTACCACTAGAGCAAGATCACTAATGGCTGTGGCAACCTCATCCTGACGACAGCAGCCTGATTTTGTTTGGGTATCAAGAAGGACATGTAGCAGCTGGCTAGCTGTCCAGCAATGTCTCTTTTCCCTTTTCCCACAGTGACAGAATAATAATAGCAAATATTTCCATGGTACTTGCTATGTGCCAGGCACTGTTCCAGGTGCTTTAAGGTTTTAACTCATTTGATCCTCACAACAGATTCATGAGGTAAACACAAGATCCTCCATCATATGGCAGAGATATCAAAGGCACAGGGAGGTTAAATAACCTCACACAGCTCGGAAGTGGCATAGCCGGGACATGAACCTCACTCACCTGGCTCTTAACCAGTACCATCGATTCACATTTCTGTTTTTTAATTTGGGGGAGGGGTGCCATGGTTCCCCGCCATACCCCTACTTAGTAGATCTAGTAACGACCACAATTTTGAAATAGAGGTGAGCATAACCAACACTAGAAGTATCTGCAACAGCTGAAATGAGATATGAACAGCCATGATTTCTACTGGTTTCTGTCACAGGTTTGCTATAACATTACTTATATATACTATTATTATACTATAATTCATGATAGAAGTAAAGCTAAATTTGAGTTAGAGGTTAGTGAAAATAAAGATTATTTTTCCCATCTCAATTCATAGACCTGCCCTGGAATTACAGATGGGCCCTAGGTTAAGAGCTCCTGCACTCGGCTATACTGCAGC